ATGTTCTAAACGAATTAATCAAAAAAAGAAACCAATTGCAAACAGATTCTGCAGCAACCATTAGTACACTTGCATCAGCCGTTAGTACACTTTCATCAACTATCGCTAATAACTTTTATTATGTCAAACTAGTTATTAGCAATTTTTCGCAAGGAGGTCTCTATTTGGGTCAATATGGAGGCCCTGATCTAAATGTTATACAACCAACCATTATGAAGGATACTTCTGCAACATATATGTGCAAATCTAAAATATATCGTAGTCTAAGCGCTCAAATGATATTCTGGAGCGCTCAAGATCTATATCGTACTGCATGGTCTGAAAGCGCCTTCTGCGTATCCATTAACAATGGTGATAAGTCTAGATTGTTAGTATACGAGTGTACATCAAACGATTCTTTAGATAATGTGTTGAGTGGGAAAATAGGTAAAGAAATAATTAATTTAACGAATGGTACTACATATAAGAATTTCTACGGCTCTTTTATCTATGCTAGTATTACAGCTGATGATTATATGAACATAGAAATTAATATACAAATAGGGGGAAATCCATTTAAATTTTAAGATATGATTATATCAATGAAGCCGATTTATGTTTGTTATTTGAATTTCTCCGCCCTTCAATATAACATTCACCAGAAAAATAACACTTTTATTTTAAGATATTTCTGCTATTTACATTAAACAAATATATTATAAATTTTAGAAAATCTTGTGTTCATAATTCTGTATATTTAAGTTTCATTCTTTTTTTTGATTTAATCGAGATTATTGTGTATGTTATTGACGACTGCACTAAAAATTCTCATATTTATACAGTTTACGTCATTAATGTTTACGTCTTCTTTTTTTTATGGATTTAAATTTAATAACGGTCTCATGCTAAAAAAAAAAAAAAAAAAGCAATGTAAGAGAAAAGGTTAAATTGATAACATAAACTATACGGATGAAAAAATAGTGTAACCGGTTAAAAATTTTACATGCGTTAAAAAAACAACATTAAGATCTTAAAATTACTCATCCCTAGTTGTCCGAATGACATTACAAAAAAAAACAATTATTTCTATTTCATAGTATAATTAACAAAAAAGAGATACAAATAAATTAGGTCATGCATACTTATATTTCGGTTTTCATATCACCAACTGCCCTTTCGTAACCCGCCGACCAGATTTTAATTTTTTTTCAAAAAATTTTATTTATGAATTTTATCGTCTCACAACCCTGATACCCGGTAAAAAATATTATAGGTAAAAAAAATTTTTAATAAGACCATACAAACTTATACTATTGGTTTTCATATCCAACTAACCTTTAGTGACCCGGCGAAGGATTTTTTTTTTTTAAAAAAAAAAAATTCGTTAATAAAAAATGGCAAAATTACTATTCCTGATGGAGTTAAAAAAAAATTATTTGATTACTGTTCCTGATATGGTTCTAAAATTGAACCCTAATCCTAGGTTTTTTCATATATTTCACTATAGTAGTATAGTGTTTTAGAGGCTCTTTTAGAACCCTATCAGGAACGGTATGTAAATCATTTTTTTTCCTACTATCAGGAATCAGGAATGGTATTTTTGCTAAACCATGTTATTCAAAAATTTTTATTGATACACAATCCGAATACCAGTAAAAATCTTAGATGCTTAAAAAATTTTCTAATAGTATGCGAACGGATCCAGTATTTTTATGGGGCGATTTATCGTTTCACAAAATTTAAGACATTTTACATATTATAGTATTACAAAAAAAAAAAAACATAAAATTAGGGTGCCTAGTGTAACTATTATTCGGGAGAGTTAGATTGAACAGTCTCAAATAGTTACGGAAAGATCCAAACTTCTGCGACTGAGATAGTTTTTCAATTTTTACTTAATAAAGGTCTCTTCAACTCTACACTAGCTTACTTCCTTTATTATTACAGTTAAAATCGAACAGAATCTCTGTCTTTACTAAACTCAAAAGCCGTACTTACATACAATTAGGTCGATTATACTACATGTTAACGTGCTACACGTTGACGTATTATCTCGAACTTTCGAAATTAATTAACCTTTTACCCCTTATTGCACGTTGGCATGCTACAAGTTAACGTGCTATGTACGTACGTAAAGGGGGGATCATAAGTTAAATGACGGGTATATACAATTTTCAACCTCGATATTGAGCAACATTTAATGGCTTATATAAAAATGGAATGGAAGTTGTTTATACTAAATAATAAAACGACCTATATACAAATTCGGGGGTAAAAACTAATTTCGATACGTGGAAATTCGAATCTCATATCTCAAATTTCGAATTTGTGACACTAGTTGTGCAATGCAATCAATTTCAAGTATCGGTATTGTTCATCTTGTCAATTGATTAAACTTATGATATACTTATGAACTACCCAGCATTTCCTTCAAAATTTTACGGGCAATGTGACATTTTGTATGATCAGATTTCAAGATCTGGTGTAACGTAACACGATCAGGAAATTTCTAAACAAACGTTCGTTTTGTCAAAAATCGTTTATAACTCAAACAACTGCATAGGAAATCCTTCATGCTTTAGCAAAAAACTTTCTTGAACGATGTTACCCCTTAACATAGATCCAAACCCTAACTTAAAGATTTTTTGGCACGATCGCTTTGTGTCCGTAAAATTTGAAGGCGGCACTCGGGAACAGTTTACTTATTTGCGCGAGTACCACAGACCAAAAAAGGAAATCGAATTTTGTAAACAAAAGTAGGGTCAGGGCTAGTGATGCTGGAGAATTTTTTCCACAATTGTGGAAATGATTCCCCAATCGTAGAATGATTCCACAAAGATGTGGAAATGATCTTTAACAATTTTAGAAATTCCACACTTGCACAAGTGTGGAATAGAGTTAATACTTCAATCCGGATATATTTATATCCGGATTAATATTTTGTCATAAAATTATAATAAAACATAAGTTAGTAATTTAAATGCAGATTTATTTTATATCCGGATGTATCCGGATATAAAACATAGTGAAGTGTTAACTCTAGTGTGGAATTGTCACATTGATTCTACAATTCCAAATCATGCGAATTGTGAATTGCCAATTTTATATATCATGCAGAAGTTACATTTTTGACATACTGTAAATCCTTGTCTCAATTTTTACTCTTGCGCAATGATATATTAAGATAATTAAGAGTAGCTATACTGTTTTCAATGATCTTGGCTTAAATAAATGCTATGATTCGGAATATTAATTTAAATCTAAAATTATCAAAAAAGGTATGTCTGTTCTCAAGATATTATATTATTTGGTAGCGCATGCGAAAATAAATACGTAGCTATTAATATCTAATATCATTGAATTGTATGTAGCATTCGTTTAGACTCAAAAAATTCATTACTATTAGTTCTTCTCAAATTACAAAAAAATTTTTTAGATAATATAATTTATTGATTCATTCGTTTCTGGTCATCTTGTAAATGTTATATTAATATTACTATAAGAACGCTTAATGTAAATTTTCAGAAAACTAAACTCACTATAGCTTAATACTAACAAATTCTAAATTTTTACTTTTTAACTTTAAGGCCGTATAAAATTTATGAAATGGTTTTCATAACTCGGCCGGGTCATAAGAGCCAGATTGTTAACTTTAAAATAAAATATATACGCCGGATCCGGGTCATGAAAACTAAATTGTAAAATTCAAAAATTTATATAATTAGACATATTCAAAATGTTCGTGCTTAATTTGTTTATTTTGTCATAGCGCCGTAATACTGTTCTGTTGTATCTAAATATCATAGCTAAGTTGAAATCTAAAAATATATTTAATGGTTTAATTAATAGGATGCAATTTAAAATGATTCTCAAACACCCTGGTAATGGGCAAAATGTATAAATTTTATAATTATAATTAAAGCTCATGATTTTATTTGTGATTTTATGTTTAACTCAGAATCCTTGTATTAAATTTTTATATTCGCATCAATTTTGTTGGGTATAAAAGGATTTGAAATAAACTATTTATGTATGTTGTAGGTGGGAATGTATACCAGACAACCTGGAACTCACTACAGCAGCATCAATGACTGCAAGCAGAGAGAATATGGCCCTAGCAGAACCAATTAGAAATGAGGAGGAAAAAGATAAGAATAACAACGATATGTTACATGAAAAGCAATCCCTACTCAACAATAGAACTGCAAGCATAACGCAACCAGGAGTGGATGAAGTTTCACTGAAGTTACATATAGCAAAAATAAGAAAAAAAAAAACAAAAAAGATAGAAAAGAAATTCTGGCTCCATATAAAAACTCAAAACATCACAATAATAAGAGAAGAACACGTGATCACAATCGTGATACTTGGGGTAGTTCGAATTGATCGATCATAACCCCTGTAGATCATCCACAAAAAATTTTCCAGCATGTAACTAAGCTACTTCACCAATTTCTGCTAATGTTGATGCCAACATTAACCACAATGTTCACCTCAACATTGATCTCAATATTGACATTAATGTTAAGGTGAACGTTCATGTCAACATTATGTCAACGTTAACCTTGTCAAGATAATACTATACATTTTATGTTTCTTTAACTTTTTTTAATAATTTTATTATTATAATTACAACCACATACAAAATTATCTAATTTACAAAAAGACAACAAAAAAATAATGAAAGAATAACGAAAGAATGTCAAAAAAAGTACTAAAAATATATGAAAAAAAACACCAAAAAAATGGTGAAGAACATTAAAAGAAACACTGAAAAATGTAGAAAAAGTGCCAAAAAAATGATGAAAAAGCACCTAAAGAATGTTGAAAGAAGCACTGAAAGAACACCCAAATAACATCAAAAGAAACACTGAAATAATGTCAAAAAAAAACACTGAAAAAACCTCAAAAAAAACACTGAAAAAACCTCGAAAGAAGTACTGAAAAAACGTCAAAAAAGCACAAAAAAAAGTACTAAAAAAACATCAAA